GCCCCTGGAAGCCCCTAATAGCAACATTCCACAAACACCCTAGCAGCAGAGAAATGACTCAGTTGTACAAAGGGTGCCATACGCAAAACAAAAGATATGCTGCAAGCATTGTATTGCTTGTAATAGCATTGCTAGCTGTACTTTTTTTGTACTACTTTTCATGTGCAAAAGAGAAACCTACTTAAGGCAAGCCACAATATACCAATAACCAGCCCTGAAATAACCATGTACCCTATACCCCAAAGAAAGGTGACAGGTGGAAAACATTACAGATGTTAACAGCAGAACACGCAGTCAAAAAACATGCAGAAGCCTTGCAGATCGGACTGCCTCTACCTATAAGGCTTCTAGCAAATTGGTCACGAGTGGTAACTGATTCAAAAAACCATTCCCTTACCATTCTCTGTCACCCTGAGGATGCCCAAAAGCCCCTTTTTTCCATCATGGTTTTAAGCAGTGCACAGACTATCCAAAATCACTGCTGGGCCGCCTCTCCTCAGGAGATGCAAAATACCTCGATGAAGTATCAGACAGCCATAATATACCATTATGCAGAGGACACATTAATAACCAATGCCACAAGAAATGAACTGCTAATTGTTTCTGCTGTTTTAACCAAAACTGCCCAAGGTGCAGATCTTCAGGTTGTTTCAGGAAGAAGCCAACAAGCACAACTCTGGACTTGCCATGGACAAGAGAACACAGCAAAAAAGCTCTACACAGGTGACACAGCTCGAGGTAAAAAACATTTGTATTTACACGAGTTGCAGGAACCTCAGAGGGCTACCAGTTGCCCTCTCCTTGTGTTGCTAGGGGAAGACTCCAACTTAAAGTCTGACGAATTGCTAGCTGCAGAGGCAAACCAAATGTTAGAAAATTATACCAAGGTAACGAAAAGCAAACAAAACAAGAGAGATCCTGAAAGGCAGATCTGCCTAGTTTTTGTTTCCAGCAGGTATGAAGCATTACAGCTTTGTTTCAGTGGGATCAAACTGAGAGAAGCCCACTGTTGGTTCTAAAACAGCCTCTTCTGTCATACCTCACCACCTAAATCTGTGTAAGTTGCTATTGAGTTTGTAAGCTTGTCATTTAGGGCAGAGCACGACTGAGGAACTGGACGGAAGGAATCCTGCCTTTACCAACATTCCAGCTTTGAAAGGACAATTTGGATAAGATGACAGCTGAGGACGCTGGATTTCAAGATGCCCTAGCAAGTTTTAGTGGTAATATTTTAATTCATCTCCTTAAGCACAGATTGTGGCAGAAATCGACAGTTTACCTTTAAAAGCCACACCAGATGCAAAACTGAACCAGTGAAAGGCCTCAGGGCCTTCACACATGCATCTAGGAAAACACAATATGCTGCAATAGACTTAAATAAATCCTGCCATGGAACAGTAAGAAAACTACAAGCCATGAACTAAGCTTCTGTATAGTTCTGGACTGATTGTCATTACCTTGGGAAAATTCTAAAACAATCCTTTGATGTTATGATTGTGCTTATTATGCTATGAAGTTGATAACCTGTTTTGAAAGTTAATTTCCTTGAGATGTTGTTAACCCTTACCTGTTTTTTGAAATGCGTTCTGGTTGGTTCCTGTGAGTTACAAAAGGTATGATTTGTATACAAATGCACACAAAATCACATCCTGAGACGCCACAGCCAATGACTGACAGAAACTGAAAAGCTGCTAAAGCAGCAATGTTTAACACTATACCCAGAGTTTTAAGGCAAGCAATTGCCTCATTCATTCTCCATCAGAATACAGGTTCTCTAAGAGACCATTCAAAATAACAATTAATAAAGCTACATCATCAAGGTATGCCACACTGTCAGGAAACCACCCTAGAGAGTTAATAGCAGATGAGACCTGGCGATCAGAGATATACATTTTTGAATTGGACATATTGAAATTGTGCATGCAAATAGATATACATCCACAAAACATAACTGCTACTGCATTCACTAGACAAATCACAAAATGTAAAACACATGAGTTACTTGCTTAGCAAGCCTTTGGTACACTAAAATGGATTAACATTAAAATTAAACAGTTACTCCCTATGAAATAGGAGAATTCTCACATCAACCATCTCACACTAATCCATAAAACAGTACAGACACATATTGAAACACGTGCTAAGTTTAAACAAAAGGGGGGAGAACTGGTGTAGCCTGCAAGAACATCTGTAAAAAGCTATGTATGTTATCAAATTTTGAGTTGTGACAGTGCTGAAAGAAGCAGGTCTGAAAAGCAGCACACACCTCAGGCGTTTGTTTCTTCCAAGTTGCTAATCATAGTAAGATTTGATCTCAGGACGATGGATGAGATTCCTAGGTTTGTGACATGGAGAGAAAGCTATGCCTAAAAGTTGTAAGAAAAAACTCAAGCAGGTTTCTTCCAGGTGTGAAAAACCCTATTCAAATATGTGACCACAGCAGCAGGAACCAGAGCAACGCAGAAGTTTGGAAAAGAGTTATGTTATGTTTTCAAGTTTACATTAGAAAATGACCAACGTGGTGAAAAAGCAATCTCTGGAATGTGCGTGTGTATGTGTGTGTTCGTGTGTGTGTTCAGTGTACGGTGGCCACCGATGTATGTATGAGTGTGTGAGTGAAGATAGTTGTTTGACTGGTCAAATAGTAAAAGACAAACACCCCACAAAATAACACTACCTCAGCCACAGGTCGCTTTTAAGAAATTATAGTTTGCTAAGATTACCCTGTTCTTAAATAAAGTTGAATTCCCCAGTTATTAAAACCCTCAGATTAATAAAGTTCTAAGTTTATACACAGTTAAGTTAAACCCCAAGTTAATAAAGTAATTATCCAAGTTGCACTACCCTATAGGAATATAAGAAAGTTTTAAAAAGGTTTACATTAGAGTTAAGACACTGAGCAAAGCACTGTGCTGGATCACTGCGAAGCTTGGTAGTTTTATAATGTTCTGATTGCTAAAATTGTTGTTTGCATTTCGTTCATATTGTTTTTGTGACTTCTTAATATAATTAGAAGAGGGGATATGTAGGAGGCGTGGCTAAGGTGGCACAGAGGATGTGCCCAGGTACAGAGCCCAAGGAGCATGCCCCGGAGTTAGTAAACTGATTGGTTAAGAAAGTCACATGATGTGTAAGGATAAAAGAGCGTGCGAGTTTGAATAAATCCTCTTTGTCTCACCACCGCACGAGGAGCATCATTCATTCCTTGTTATACAAGAGTTTAAGCGCCACAATGGACGACACCAGATACCAACAGACGTCATCCACAAGATTGTAGCAATGGCTCCACCCACAAACAAGAAAGAAACCCAAGCTTTTCTGGGAGCCATTGGCTTCTGGAGGATGCACATCCCAGAGTACAACCAGATGGTGAGCCCTCTTTCCTTTGTGACCCGTAAAAAGAACAATTTCCAGTGGGGTCCTGAACAACAACAAGCTTTCAGGCAGATCAAGCAAGAGATTGCACATGCCGTGGCTCTTGGAGCAGTCAGGACAGGACCAGATGTAAAGAATGTGCTCTACTCTGCAGCTGGAGATAAAGGTCCCTCCTGGAGCCTCTGGCCAAAGGTGCCTGGTGAGACGTGAGGGCGACCACTGGGTTTCTGGAGCCGAAGCTACAGAGGTTCTGAGGCCAATTCCACCCCTGTGGAGAAGGAAATCTTAGCAGCCTATGAAGGCATAGGAGCAGCTTCAGAGGTAATTGGTACCAAAGCACAGCTCTTCTTGGCACCCCAGATGGGACCCCAGCATGCAAAGTGTAACTAGATAAGGGAAAAAGGGGGTAGGGTTTATCCATTTTAGGGAAAGGGTGGCCAAAAAAGGAAATACTGCAATGCAGCAAACTTTGGCCAATGGGGGAGCGGGGTCTAAGGATACAGACATCAAGGGGATTTTGCATCAAACAACTTCAGGGTACAGCAAGGGAAAATCTACAAGAAATTTTTAGACACAACCGTAAAACTCGAAAGGCTTTGGGTCTGAACTTCTTGACAACTTCATCCAGGACTTTCATCCTCTGGAGGGTCACACATTTCTTGTTGTCTTCTCCAGCTTTCAGATTCAGCAATGTCCTCACTCCCGACAGACCAGGGTCCCCTTTCCAGAGTAATGGAGGAGCACCGTGATTTTTTAATCCAAAATTCCCAGATTTGAATGAAATGCTCTGGAAAGGCTCTGGAAATCATTTGGTGTTCACAGTGAGTCTCTGGTTTCCCATCCCCTGCTTCAGATGTGAAAACATGTCCCTTGCAGTCGGAATGTAAACTCATCAACTCCATTAAACTTGAGCACTATATCCCATCATCCAGATCATCAATGGAGATGTTCACCAGGAATTGCTGATCACTGGCCTCCAGCTGGATGTTGCACTCCTGATCACCACCCTGGCCAGCAGATTTCAACCAGCCTGCTGTCTGCTCATCCAGCCCATACTTCATGGGCTTCTCTGTGAGGGAGCCCTGTCTGTGTCCACTAGTACACACATTCATTTTGATTTTAAACAATCAAACAGAAGTGAGAGTTTTAACACCGGAATTATTTTTCAAAGGGAAATAGAAGGGTAAGAGTTTTTAATTTTAGTTATCATGTTTTACATGATACTAATTGACATCTAGTAGAACTGAGACAGCACCTTAAGAGACAAATCTACATTCTCTATTTATGCCTCTGAATTACAGGTATGGCTTTGATGGAACGAGTGCCTTCAAACTCCACTGGCAGGCACTGTTTGAAAACTATTTGGGTGATTTTTGATAAGAAATGAAAGATGCAACGGCAGGAAGCCATTCAGCCATCCCTGACAAGGGAGGTCCACTGTCAATTGCTGGGAGGGCCCCCACCTCTTTCTTTTAATGGTGATCCCAAATCCCACCCCTTGGACCTCCCAGTCCCATCCTTTTTGGTCCCCTCAGGCATCACCTCCCCAGCATCTGCTCTGTGTCCTACCCAGGATCCCCAAACATCCTCCCATTGATCATTCCCAAAGCTTTTCTTTCCAGACCTTTGCCTTTCACCCAGAACACTGCCCTGGTACCTCCCAAGGCCATTCCTTGCCTCCCTCTCCACTCCCAACCATCTCCCAGTGCCCTCGTTTTTGTCCTCCTCCATCATCCTCCTCCTGTCCCCACCAAGCCTCTCCCTTGCAGTCCCCATGTCCCTACACTTGAATTCCTTTCCCCTCCCCTGCATCCCACACAGGGCCCCTTCAACACCCCAATCCCAGTCCCGTGGGCTCCCCAGTTCCCCCCAGTTCAGCATCTTTGGGTCCCCCCCAACCTCCCCCCACCCTCCCTGCAGGCCCTGAATTCCCCTGGCTCTCCTTGTCTCCATCCCCACCCTGGGCCCTGCAGGAACAGGGGTTGGAGGTGAAACTGGGTGCAGTGGGAGCGGGGGGAGCAGAAGGGATTTTCCCCCTCAGACCGGGGCAGCCATGGGCTGGGGGGGCTGGGGACACCCGTGTCCCTCCCCCAGCCCCACAGGGGCCAATCCTGAGCAACCCTTTGCTCTCCTTGTCCAGGCACTCTTGGCAGGAACCCAAAATGATCTGCGGGAGGTGAGTGGGCCGGGGGGGACTGGAGGGCATCCAGTCTGGGAACTGGGGGACACTTTGGTCCCCCCATCCCTCGCTGGCACCGGGGACATCCCAGTGACCAGCCAGGGCTCCTGGTCTCTCTCCACCTGCATTTAGTGGACGTTGGGATCCTGAAGATGGTTCAGGTGGGTACCAGGAGTTCTGCCTGAGTCGGGTCCTCCCCTCACATGGCCATGACACTCCTTAGCCATCCCAGTCTGCCCCAATATACCCCAGTGCACCTTCCCCAAGGATCCCATTTCTTCCCCCAGACTCCCAATACATCCCACTGCACCCAGTGTGTCTCTGAGCCTGTCTTTGTCCCCAGCCCCCTGTGGCTGAGAAGGTGGTGGGTCCTGTTGGTGAGATGTGGCTGCATCCCTGGATGGCTGAGGTGAGCAGTGCCTGCAGGGAGAGGGGTCAGGACAAGGCCCCTCTCGTGTTGCAGTGGACTTTGGGGGTGACGTTTGGGGCTCTGTCTTTCAGGACTGGTGGTGACACCCGTGCCCTGTCCCCCTCCAGTGGCATGAGGAGATGATCATCCCTGGAAGAACCCCCTGATTTCCCTCAGAGCCCAGGGGCATTTCCCCTGAATGATCAATAAATCCCTTCAGCAAAACTACTCTGCTTGATCTTGTGTGTGTGTTCCCATCTCCATGTGTGTTCCCATCTCCATGTGTGTGTTCCCATCTCCATGGGTGTGTTCCCATCTCCATGGGTGTGTTCCCATCTCTGTGTGTGTGTTCCCATCTCCATGTGTGTGTTCCATCTCCATGGGTGTTGTTCCCATCTTCAGTGTGTTGTGTGTTCCCATTCCTCCATGTGTTTCCCATCTCCATGTGTGTGTTCCCATCTCCATGGGTGTGTTCCCATCTCCATGTGTGTGTTCCCATCTCCATGTGTGTGTTCCCATCTCCATGTGTGTTCCCATCTCTGTGTGTGTGTTCCCATCTCTGTGTGTGTGTTCCCATCTCCATGTGTGTGTTCCCATCTCCATGTGTGTTCCCATCTCCATGTGTGTGTTCCCATTTCCATGAGTGTGTGTTCCCATCTCCATGGGTGTGTTCCCATCTCCATGCCTGCATTCCCATGTCCCTGTCCCCTCCTTCTCCAGCCCCTGCACAGCCGGTGCCTCTCTGGCCGCTCCCCTGCCATGAGCAGAGAGGCTCAGGGGGCTCCTTGGGGTCTCTGCATACAAGATCCCCTTCAGTCAGTGCAGTGGAAGGGCCTCTCCCTCATGTGCATCCGCTGGTGCTGGAGAAGATGTGAGCTGCTCCAAAACCTCTTCCCACACTCCCCACACTCGTAGGGCTTCTCCCCCGTGTGCACACACTGGTGGGTGACGAGCTGAGAACTGTATGTGAAGCTTTTCTTGCATTCCCCACATTTGTAGGGCTGGGGCCCCCGTTCCCCAGACACCTGTACCACCCTGCTATATCCCTGAAGGGCAGCAGCTTGCTCAGTTAATCCCTTTTTACAGCGCCTCAGCCTCTGGGAAGGGAAAGAGAGGCTCCGGGGCTTTTGGGAGCACAGGTGAGCCACAAATATTTTAGGCAAAGACTGTCCCTGCTTCTCAGCCTATGCTGACTTGTCACAGATGGCACAGGTTTAAAGGCTTGGTAGACACTGGTGCTGATGGTTCTATTGGAAAAGATACAGAATGGCCTGTCTTTCAGGACTGGTGGTGACACCCGTGCCCTGTCCCCCTCCAGTGGCATGAGGAGATGATCATCCCTGGAAGAACCCCCTGATTTCCCTCAGAGCCCAGGGCCATTTCCCCTGAATGATCAATAAATCCCTTCTTCCCATCTCCGTGCCTGCATTCCCGTGTCCCTGTCCCCTCCTTCTCCAGCCCCTGCACACCCAGTGCCTCTCTGGCTGCACCCCCACCATGAGCAGAGAGGCTCAGGGGGCTCCTGGGGGTCTCTGCACACGAGATCCCCTTCACCCCCTCCATGTGCATCCTGAGCAGTGCAGGTTGGGGCATCATGGAATGTCCCTGCTGGGGGCTGGGACAGGCAGGGGGCACACGGGGCAGCCCCTGGAGCACCTGGACCTCCCCTGTGCTCTGGGAGGGATGGAAAGGGGATCAAAGGGGCCAGCGGGTGTCAAATGCCCCCAGATCTCAAGGGCCAGGCTCGGGGCTGAAGGGATGGAGAGCAGCCCTGCATCCAAGGCCATGGGGACAGTGGGGGATGAAAAGCAGGATGGGAGCCAGCAGTGGGAGCTCACAGCCCACAACCCCCCGTGTCCTGGGCTCATCCCACAGCGTGGGCAGCAGGGGAGGGGGTTCTGCCCCTCTGCTCCGCTCAGCTGAGACCCCCCTGCAGTGCTGCCTCCAGCTCTGGGCTCCTCTGGCTGTCTGCAACGCACCCGCCCGCAATGGCAATGGCTTGGGGGGATTCCCCTGCCAGCCCTGGCATCTCCTGCAGCTCCATGGGCTCCTCAGCACAGTAGAGACATGCACCTCTTGGGGCACTTCTAGAGGAGGCCACTGTTGGGGAACACAGAGCCGAATGGGAAGAGTTTCAAGCTTGGCGCAAGATCTACAGCCCTGAATGAGACACTTTACACCGGATAAGACACAACCTCACCGAAATGGACTTTTATTTACTGGATTTGACATTGTACCGGACTGGACAGTTTTCTCATTATCCCCAGTTTTCCCCAGTTTGTTGTTATACTGTTATATGGTTGTGTGTACCCCAGTTGTTGTTTTTAAAATCACCCTTCATATTGTCTCCTTCTTCCCCTCACAGTTTTCCCGCCTTTTCCCTGTTTTCCCGCTCCTCTGCCTGCCATTGGTTAGTGTTTGGTGCAGTGCAGAGGTAGCTGTCATTGGCCCATTTCCCTGGTTACACCCAAGCTCCTCCCCTCCTTACCCAATTGTCCAATCACCTTCATCCCTGAGTTGTCAGTCCTATGCTCCTCCCTAGCCCAAACTCCACCCTTAAACCTACCCTATATAAGTTACTGTTTCCCCAATAAAGTTTGGCATTGCTTCACGAGACTCTCTGCTGTGTCCCGGATCCTTCTTGCAGTGCCCGATCCCTTTCCTTTCCCTGCGGGTCGTGGCAGGCCACCAAGGGGATCCCAGGGCTGCAGCGCCTCTGGGATGGAGACAGGCTGAGAGAGTGGGGGCTCTTCAGCCTGCAGAAGAAAAGCCTGTGGGGAGACCTCCTTGGGGCCTTCCAGTACTTCAAGGCAGCTTCTTAGAAACATGTGGGCAAAGGGTTCAGTAGGGCCTGTCACAATAGGACAGGGGGTGAGGGGGTTAAACTGGGAAAAAACTTCTTCATCTCAGACCTGCCGTTTACACCCATGGCATTCAGCACTAAACCAAACCATTCCTGTTCTTTGCTGTTAGTTCTTGATTTTTGCTAGGATTCTGTGATTCATGGCTTGTCTTGGTAGCTTAGGTGGTGCAGTCTTTCTTGGAATAAGCAAGAAGATCAGTGACAAAAGAGAATCTGTCTTTGGGACAAGATTATTCGGTCCTTTTTTGGCAAATATCAGTTCAGTGCTTGCCATCCGTAGCATAAAACCTGCTGTGGAATTTGAGGCCAGGTGTCCAAAGAGGCCTGTCCAATGTGGTTTCAGAGCCAACAGGGGGACCACAGACATGGGGTTTGTTCTCAGACAACTGCAAGAGAAGTGCAGGGAACAGAACAAAGGTCTCCATGGAACCTTTGTTGAGCTCACCAAGGCTTTCGATCCTGTGAGCAGAAAAGGTCAGTGACACATTTTGGAACGTTTAGGTTGTCCCCCCAAGTTCCTTAAAATGATCATCTACTCCATGAGGATCAGCACGGGCGAGTCAGATATGGCAATGCACTCTCTGAGCCCTTTCTAATATCCAGTGGTGTGAAACAAGGCAGCGTTCTTGCACCAACCCTATTCACAATCTTTTTCAGCAGGATGCTCCAAAGGGCCACGGCAGACCTCGATGAAGAAGGTGGGATCTAGATCCCATATCGTACCCATGGAAGCCTTTTCAACCTAAGGTGACTGAAGGCCCACACTAAGACCTTAAACCATCTTGTCTGGGAGCTGCTTTACGCTGACGCCGACGCCCTCGTGGCTCACACAGTGGCAGCTCTGCAGCGTTTAACATCCTGCTGTGCTGAGGCTGCTGAGCTCTTTGGGCTGGGCGTCAGCTTGAAGAAGACACAAGTTCTCTATCAACCTGCACCTCAGGAAGGCTTCCATCACCCCCACATCACCATTGGCCAATCAGAGCTCAAATCAGTCCAGCAGTTTAATTACCTGGGTGGCCTCATCTCCTCGGGCGGTGAGATTGACGGAGAGACAGACAACAGGTTAGCAAAGGCATCGAGAGCTTTCGGAAGGCTCCATCAAAGAGTCTGGGAAAATAAACACCTGAAGAAAAGCACCAAGATCAGTGTTTACAGAGCCATTGTGCTGTCTACTCTCTCATATGGGTCCGAACTGTGGGTCATCCACCGCCACCACCTGCAACTCCTCGAACGCTTCCATCAACGCTGTCTCCGCACAATCCTAAACATCCCCTGGTCAGATGATGTGACCAATACATCTGTTCTAGAACAGGCAGCAGGCACAAGCATTGAGGCCATGTTGCTGAGAACACAGCTGAGCTGGGCAGGGCACGTCTCCAGGATGAAGGACCAACCACCCCCTCCTGAAGGTCCTGCTTTATGGTGAACTTGCCACCGGCTGCTGCAAGAGAGGAGCCCCGAAGAGGAGATACAGGGACTGCCTGATACGACATCTCAGCCTTGGCCATATTGATCAACATAACTGGTCTACTCTGGCCTCCAGTCAGGAGGTCTGGAGATACACCATCTATAACGCTGCTGCTTCCTTTGAGAACGCTCACAGGATCACTCTCGAGGAGAAAAGACAGCGCAGAAAGAATCGTGTCCTGCAGAATACACCACCTAAGGAGTCTTTCTGCTGTGCCTTTTGCAATCAGATATGTCTATCTCGTATTGGCCTCATTAGCCACCAGTGTGCCTGTAATAAATGTGGATAGAGCCTTCCTAAATCTTCGTTTGCGAAGCCCAGCCATGAGGGGGTAGGAAAGGGTTGTGGGGGCACCATGGAGGCTCGAGGGGATCAACATGGGGGCATTTAGGGCTTAGGAGGCATTTAGAGGTCCCGAGTGGGCCCTGGGGACACTTGGGGGGCCCTGAGGTGACAATGGCGGAGCTCAAAGGGGCCGCGGGGCAGGACGGGAGTTTTAGTCAAAGAAACGGCTAAAATGGCGCGGCTCCAAGGCACCGCCCCCAGCCCCGTTCCCGGGCGGTGATTGGCTGAGCGCAGTGACGGGCGGGCGCAGCTGCCAATGGGAGGCGGGAAGCGGGAAGCGGGTGGCGCTGAGGGGAGTGGGGGGGGCAGCGGATTTTGGGGGGATTTGGGGACTTTGGGGAGTTTGGCGCTGAGGGGAGTGGGGGGGGCAGCGGATTTTGGGGGGATTTGGGGACTTTGGGGAGTTTTGGGGGTCCCTCATGACCCCCCACAGCCTCCCGGGACCCCCCTGGCGCCTGTTGGCCGTGAACGTAAAGGAGGAGAAGTCAGATGAGCCCTTCCCCCTGCGGTTTCCTCCCGGGACCCCCAAATCCCGCCGGACCCTCCCCAAACAAGGGCGGGAAGGGAAAGGGGTCCCGGAGGCGCTGCCCGCGCTCGCTGGGGGCACTTCTGTGCTGATGCCCCTTGGTTGTTGTGTCTGCAGGGACTGGAACAGGGATGTTTGTCCCAGGAAAGCGCTGCTCCATCTCCGAACCGCCCCTGCTCCTCTCACACCTTGTTCTCTCTCTTTGCCCAGCAGTCCCTGGGTGGCTCCAGAGCCCTCCGGCTGTGGGTGTGTGACACATTCACATCAGCCCCTGCTCTCCTGGGCTCCTACACACGCCAGCCATGAGCTGCTCCTCCGTGATCTTGCTGTCCGTTCATAAACAGATCTTTGAAAGTGGTGCTGATTTAGAAACTGAACCTCTCAAGGCCCTTCCCCATCTTCGTTGCCTCCTTTGGAAAATCTCTAAGGGCTCAATGTCTTTATTTTATTGTGTCCCCCCAGACTGCCCCAATGGTGCAGGTGAGGCCGCCCCAGGGCAGAGCAGAGTGGGACAATCCCCTCCCTGGCCCGGCCGTGCTGGGCCTGATGCCCCCAGGACAGGGTTGTCCCTCCTGGCTGCCAGGGCACTGCTGGCTCAGGGCCAACTGGCCACCCACCAGGACCCCCGAGGCCCTTTCCTGGCACTGCTCTCCAGCCTCTCATTCCCTGCTCTGTCTGTCCATCCGTGGTTGCCCCATCCTGGGGGCAGAATCCAACACTTCCCCCTGTTGAACTCCCTGTGGTTGGTGATTCCCAGCCCTCTGATCTGTCGAGGTCTCTCTGCAGGGCTTCCCTCTTCCATGAGGCCCCTCAGTGTCCAAATGCTCCCTTTGTTCCATGAGGTTCCCAGGGTCCCTTTGGCTCCTTAAGACTGCAGTGTGACAATGTCCCCTTAATTCCATGAGTTTCTGAAATGTCTCAGGGCTCCTTTGGTTCCAAAAGGCCCTGCCATGTCAAAATGGCCCCTTACTTCCATGAGGTTCTGCAGTGGTCCAGCTTTCCTTTGCTTCCATGAGGCCCTACAGTGTCACAATGGACCCTTGATTCCAAGAGGTTCCAAAATATCTCAGGGTTCCTTTGGTTCCCTGAGGCCCACCAGTGTCACAATGGCTCCTTGGCTCCATGACTTTCCATAGAGTCCCTGAGTTCCTTTGCTTCCATAAGGCCCTGCAGAGTCCCAGTGGCCCCTTGATTCCTTGAGGTTCTGAAATGTCACAATGGTCCCTTGATTCCATGAGGTTCTGAAATGTCACAATGGTCCCTTGATTCCATGAGGTTCTGAAATGTCACAATGGCCCCTTGATTCCATGAGGTTCCACACTGTCCCAAAATTGCTTGGGTTCCATGAGCCCTTGGAGTGTCACAGTGGACCCTGTTTCTCCAGGGGAAGAGGGACAGCACAAGACACACAGACACCAACTCTAAGGAACAAGTGTGTCATTTCTCCATAGTGCAAAAGAGCAAAGAATTACAAAAGGATAAGCTCAGTAATGCACCTCATCGTTCCTACAAAGAGTGCCTGGAGTGATGAGAAAAGATGCATCCTCAGTTCCCCTCATCCGTTCCCCTCAGCCAGGCCCGCACGGCAGCGGGGGAGCCCCGGTCACAGCCAAGGGTTGGAGAACCCCTCCTGGGGAAGGGAAATCCACTCGTAGGGGAGAGCTCCATCTCTGCTGGGAGGGGGTCCAGCTTTCCTGTGCTTGAATAAACAAGCTCACAGAGCTATGTTAATTTGGAAGGTTCATCCAGAGGCCAACTTTGGCTCAGGGGATGTTGTTCAGGCCTCAGTGCTTCAGCTGCAGAGCCTTGTGGAACCAAGGGGCCGTTGTGACACTGTGGGGCCTTGTGGAACCAAAGGGACCCTGTGATACTGTGGAACCTCATGGAGACAAAGGAACCCTGGGACACTGTGGAACCTCATGGAATCGAGGGGCCATTGTGACATTGCAGGGCCTCTTGGAATCAAGGGGCCATTGTGACACTGTGGAACCCAAGGAACCCTGGGAAACTGTGGAACCTCATGGAATCATCAGGGCAATTGGGACACTGTGGAACCTCATGGAACAAAAGGGTTTCCTTGTGACACTGTGGGGCCACATGGAACCAAAGGGACCCTGTACCTGTGTCTGATGGACACTCGAGGCCCATTATCCTGGCTGATTATGGACTCTAATGGGCACCAACACAGGATCAGTTCCCCATGGACATTTCCCACATTCTGAACCACTCTTACCATTGTATAAGTTTGTTATTTTAGCTTCTCTAATGACCTTGGATGTTCAAGTATATCCTCAACAGACAGAAAACTGGATGTATATCCAGATGTGAGACAAAAAACTGCTCAAGCAGAAGTGGGAAGGACTTTTGTCTCCCAACGTGGCTGTGGAAGCTCCGTGGGGAGACTCCCAAATTCCCTGTATGGGAATAAAACAACTCTGGACACAGAGGAACCCCCTGTCCTGGACAGTGCAGTGAGCAATGAATCTGCTGCAGGTAAAGCTGCAACAGAATCAGAACCTCTATAATGAAAAGCATTAAATGGTTTATCTTTTTCTGTTTACAGGACATTGTTTCTGGTATTTTTAATAGAAATATAATAATATTTAATATTTCATGGTTATTTATCCCCGGATTAGCCAGCCATCCTAACAAGACCTTGCAACTCACGATTTTAGAAGAAAGAATTCAGAGTGATGTCCCCTAAGGGCCACTCCCATACAACACACAGAGAGCAAATGCCACCTGACCCTTGGAAGAGAAACTCACCCCGAAAGCTAATGCAGGCTGTGACACTGATAACAAACAGCAGGAACTGCTGGATTTGTTCTGTTTCCCACTCCTTCAAATGAAAGCATTCCAATGATGGGACTTCCAACACCAAACATGGACCACTCCAATGGTCTCCCTCCAACTGGAGTGATGCTCCTTTTGGAAGGAAAAGCAGCCCAACCTCCCATAGATCCACAAATCCTCTTCATGGTCACTCCCCTGGGGTTAAGTGAAAGGAGAGATCTGCCTGCTATCTCGTATGGTGGTTTATATCAATCTCTTCTTAATGCTTGTTTCTTTTGCAGGTTCGGATATAATTGCTTTAATATAATTGCTTTGATACAGTGCACTGTACTACTTTATGCTGTATTATACCCTACTAGTAGGTTTTTAGTCTTTACACTGTGTAGTAAACAATTCTGATTAAGAGTTTTCATCTGTTCACTTGTCTGTTCATTTGTCATAATAAATAATTCATTTTATATAAATACATCTGATCTGCCATCGTTAAAACCTGTGAGACAAAATTATTTAATCACACCTCTGTAATTCCTTAAATTTAAACTGTTGACACAGCCCAAGGCTAAGGCTGGATCCAGCCACACTCGGGCTCCTCTCTGAGAAGGCATTTAGAAAGCAAGGGGATCCTTTCTGTACCTCGTGACTCAACAGCAGGGCTTCTTTAATAACTTTGTCTGAGCCTTCCACTCCCCCCGTGCCAGCCCCGCGCCCACACACACGAACCCTGCAGTCCAGTCGCTCCAGTGGCTCCGTTGTCAGCACTATTGACACGTGGGCTGTTCAGGGCCCTGCTCCTGCTCCAGTTGCTGCACTCACACCCCCCTGCTCACGAGCTCTTGCAGAGAGAATTGGCTCACACAGGAGTTGGAAGTTAAGTTTAATGAGAAGACAGAACAGACTGCACTGGTTGGGGTCCTCCCCTCAACTTCCCTCCAGTCCTGTGTTATCCAAAACTGCTCTTCCCCTGCATCCCATCATGTGTCCTACACTCCAAGGCAACAATCCCCCTAGGCCAAATGGGGATCTGCTCTCAGTGACTGAGGGGTTTCAGACCTGGACAACAGGGCTGATGGCTCTCCCAGGGCAGCCCTGGAAAGAGCTGGGACATGGGGTCCATTTCCCAGAGCCTGGCATTGGGGTTGTCACTTGCCACTGTTCCTCTGTGCTCTCTCTGTTTGGAGATGGATTCTTGGAGAGCTGATGGCCCTGCAGTGATGGAGCAGCCAGGGCAGAGCATTAACTGAGTTACTCCTCCTCCCACTGTTAGTGCCCTGTCTGTGTGTGCAGATGAGCTTCTTATCACTTAACCTGACACAAGCTGACAAGAGCACAAATCTCCTGAGGCATCCGTGTTTGGAGGTCACACACATATGCCCTGCTATTGTTTAACAGATGAGAGCAGATCCTTGGAATTTATGTCCAGAAATGCATCAGGATTAGGGGAAAAGCTTTGTTATTGTACTGGCAATGGATTTGTTCAGTGCCAGTATCACAGCCTTGTTCCTAAGGCTGTAGATGAAGGGATTTAAGAATGGGTACAGGACTGTGTTCAGCAAAGCTACAGTTCTGTTGGTCTTCAAGGAAACATCTGCTGAAGGACACACGTAGAGAGCAATGCAGCTCCCATATGCAATGGATAAGGTGATGAGATGGGAAGAGCAGGTGGTAAAAGCTTTCTTCCTCCCAGAGGCTGCTGGAAGCTGCAGAACACAGCAAAGGATGCACGTGTAAAATGCCAGAGTTAAACAGAAGGAACCCAGCACGACCCACGATAAGAAAACAGAGTCTATTTTCCAAAGCAGGCTGGTGTCAGAGCAGGACAGTTTGAATAAGGGGGAGTTGTCACAAAGGAAATGGGGGATCCTGTTGGAGCCACAGAAGGACAGCTGAGAGAGGAAGAGCAGGCGGTAGCTCAGGAGGGTGAAGCCGATGAGCCAGGCAGCAACAGCCAGGCAGAGGCAGAGCTGAGGCTCCCTGGTGGCAGCGTAGTGCAGGGGGTGGCAGATGGCAACCCAGCGGTCAAAGGCCATGACAACAAGCAGGACAAACTCTGTGCAGCCCAGGGCGAAATAGAAATAGGATTGGGCAAAGCAGCTGCTCAGCGAGATGGTTTTCTTATCAGAACTCAGGATGGCAAACAATTTGATGCTTGTGGAGGATGTAAACCAGAGAACGCCAGGTTGGTAATGAAAAAGTACATGGGGGTTTGCAGGTGGTGATCCACACACACGAGGAAAATGATGGTTGCATTCCCTGTCACTGTTGTCAGGTACATGAGCAGAAGGATCACAGAGAGAAACAGCTGCAGGCTTTGATCAAGCCCTGGGAAACCCTCTAGGATGAACTCAGTAACTGCTGTTTCATTTGCTGCTCCCATGCTGAATTTCAGTTCATCCTGCCGGGACAGGAACATGGCAAAACCAAGTGTGATAATTTCACAGGCTGGACAAAATGTTCTGTCCTTCCCTCTCTGCTCCTTTCATTGCCTGCACTCTTCCTGTACAGCCCAGAGATCGTCCTTCAAGCAATTCTCACACCCTGATTTTTCTGTTTCACATTTCACTCAGAGTCCTCAGAGATTTTGCTGTCTTATTTCTACTTTGCCAAATACTCACAAAGAATTCTTTCACCAGAACAGAGGATTCTGAAGAGGCTGTTGGCTATTTCACCCCATTCCTGGGAAATTCCAGGCTCACTCAGACCTCTGGTAAACATCTGTCACACCTCTGTGCCAAAAGCCTCTCTTCTACTGCACAGATGCTAACCCATGAAATCACACCCACTCTGCACGTTTAAAGCTCTTGCCTCTACTTTTCAGTGTTGGCCTTTTGCACTGGGAATCCCTGAGAATCTGTTGATTCCAAAATAAGCAATATCAAGTATTTTGCAATTCCCTGCTTTCTGCCACAGCTTCTTGCTCTCTGGTTCTTCAGGAAAAGAGAGGGGAGGGCAGAATAGGGACCAAGTATAACTTGACTTTTTAGTACTCTAAATAATGACCAAAATTTATTATGGATCCACACAGTGTGTCACAGAGTCCCACCTCACACCCGTCTGCACAAAAAGGCACTTGTTGCCATACAGTTGCTCGTTGCTATTGCTGTCAAATGTTCCAACCCAAATGCAGAGCAAGAGAACAGTGCCAGGAAGAGATTTGTAACCTCTCCTTTGCCTGCCAGTTTTAGACTGGGAGAACCCAGCCTCCAGAGCCTTCTCTTGTCTCCACTGACTACAGAGGGAGCCTGGAGAAAACAAGTTCCATAAGGGCCTGCAGTGGAGGAGATGAAACTCATTATTCAAGTCTCAAATCTCCGATTAATTAAGTTGTTATGCTTTTAAATGAAAATTCACAGTTCACAGAAAGAAGCATGAGAAAAAATGTGCAATAAAGACTGGCATTTTCCCTTTCATCTTTTGATTTTGTTTTTAGGCAGAGAGGAGCAGAGCACATGGCTCCAAAACCAGGGTGATTTGAAATGCCAGGGGGAGGAGAGGGGATGGTGGGTTTGAAGCAATGAAACAAAGCTGTGTTGATGTGCAGCCAGAGCACTGAAGTCATTAGTCCCTGAGTGGTCCCAGCTCATTGTCCACACAGATGAGAGGAGAGACTGGTCTGAGAGAGCCCATCAGCTTGAAACCAAGGGATTGAATTCAGTCAAGACCCTTAAAAATTAACAAACTCCAAAAGGAGCAACAGTTTTGAGTCACCTTCAAAATCAGCTGTTGGCCTGAACTGTGTGGGACCTGCCCAGGGACACCCTCCAGGGAAGTCCAGGCAGTCCTGGAGATGGGCAGATCCTGCTGTGCCCAGGCCTTTTCTGGGGCATAAATGTGGCGACTGCCGTCCTGGGGGGAGAATCTGACGCTTCAGAGATCCCTGGAGCAGCTTCTGCTGCACAGCTGAGTAAACCTGAATGAATTGGAAGATGCTTACACATGCCAGAGGGGGCGTGCAGGACCACAGGTCAGGTGGATTATAAGAATTAATCAGAACAGTGGTGACCAAAGTCACACCTGATCCAATTGAAGACACTGGTGCAAGGGCCATTGCAAAGGAAACTCTTCCAATCTGAGTTATCCCACAAGTCAAGCAATCTTTTCCTTGAGAGCTCATCAAAAATAGAGAGGAAGAAAAAAAAAGCGAGGAAGAAGGAGAGATATAAAATGTGCTAATACCAACTGAGAAGAACCTCTGAGCAATGTTTCACCACTCAAACTGTTGGTAGAAAATGTGTTTGGGAAATGACTGCACAAAGAACATTCATGAATCTGGGAAGGAAGACTTCTCCAGAGAGTACACAGAAGTCTTCATGTCAGAGGGCTCCACTATTTCCTAAAATCTACATTCAGGGCTTGAGTCAGCTGTTTGCAGAGAGGCCACCAGTGGCTCCAGCATTCTCTGGGGTAGCTGAAGCCCTCAAGTGGGACTGGGAAAAGTGTCCCAGGACCTACGGGAGCTCTTCTGGAGCACGAGCTGGAAGGCCTGAGCTGAGGCAGGTACCTCAGGAGCGGTGCAGGACTGCTGGGTGCACTGGGCAGGGACCAACAGCCCAGGAGCTCCTTGTCCTTCTGGGTGCCAGCTGTGAGGTCACTTCTGTCACAGGAACTGAGTAGCCCCCAGCTGATCTGTGGGAAGGCAAAGAGTCAGAAGTCATGAATGTCATCAGAGAGCTGCTCCCAACATGATGGCAGATTTGGGAAGGTCAAGGGGAACGGGGACAAGGGAGATGGGAGACTTGGCAAGGGAAGGGATCAATAAAACCTTTACCTTGGACTTCTGGAGGGTGGACTTTGGCCTGTTCAGGACACTGAAATGGTTGAGACAGTGTCCTGCAAAACAGTCCTTAATAACAAAGAGGTCCAGGAAGGCTGGACATACTCTAAGAAGGAAATCTTGAAGGCCCAGGAGCAGCCTGTCCATGTGTGCTGCAAGATGAGCCAGCAGGGAAGACGACTGGCCTGGCTGAGCAGGGAACTTTTCTGGGACTGGGGGAATAAAAAGGGTTTATGACCTTTGGAAGAAGGGGCAGGCAGCTCAGGAAGAGTACAAGGATGTTGTTAGGCCATGTAGAGAGAAAATTAGAAAGGTAAAAGGTCAGCTAGAACTCAATCTGGCTACTTCTGTAAAGGGTAATAAAAAGGGTTTATATAATACATCATCAACAAAAGGAGGGCACAGGAAAATCTCCATCCTTTATTGGACATCGGGGGGAACACTGTCACCAAGGATGAGGAAAAGGCCAAGGCATTTAATGCCTTCTTTGCCTCAGTCTTTCACAGAAAGGCCTGTTATCCTCAGGACAACCAGCCCCCTGAGCTGGTAGACAGGGACAGGGAGCAGAATGGACCCTCTGTAATCCAGGAGGAAGCAGCTGGTGATCTGCTGAGCCACTGAGACACTCCCAAGTCTATGGGACCAGAAGGGATTCATCCAAGGGTGCTGAGGGAGCTGGAGGGAGAGCTCAGCAGAAACCCTCCACCATTTACCATCAGTCCTGGCTCACTAGGGAGGACCCGATGAGTGGAGGTGCTCATGTGATGCCCATCCACAAGAAGGGCCAGAAGGAGGATTGAAACAGGAGCCAGGCCTAGAAGAGTTAACTGAGATATCTTGGCCTGCTGAGAAACCCCAATACCTGTTTTGCTGGAAGAACATTTTCGGAGCACTGGTTAATCTCCTGTTCTGTTCTGGTCACTGGACCAAAGGCCTTATTATAGAAAGAATAGGAGTAGTACACACACAGTAATAAATTAGGTAACCCAGATGTTTGAATAAGATCTAGAAGGCCCAGAGCCAGGATTTTGCAAGCTTGAAGAATTCAGGTCACCTGACTGAAGAGGTCAAATTGAGGAAGACATCCATGGCGACCACCAGAGGGATGAAGGCTTGAGGAGAAGCCCCCCACAGTAGAAGACTGGGCATGTCTGGAAAGACTCTGCCCAGAGACCAGCCTACTTATTAATATGTATAATAAATGAGGTAACCCTGTATCTAAAGCGTATAAAATGGTTTAGTTTTGCACTTTGAAGTTGAACAACTTTATCCAGCGTGAGCTGGCTTGCTCCCAACGTTGAATAAACAAATACCTTGCTGCTTAAAGATAAAAGAATGTCTCTGAGCAGTCTTTCGGGCCGATTGTTCGGATTTACTGGTCACGTGCAAACAGGTGAGTGGTCAGTGCCCATCCCTGGCCATGCCCGGCAAGGGATCCCCACAGTCTGTCCCGTTTGCTTCATCCCTCCATTGCCAAGAACTTTTTAGGACAAGGGAACTCTGTGCTCTGGGTTTGGAGGGAGGTCCCAGTGCCACTTTCTGGAGTGGGATTGACAAATGATGGGGTCTTGTGTTCTCTGGGGGGCCAGACTCTGGTGAGACTGGTGTGTGTGCACATGAGACTGGTGTGGGTGTGGGTGGGTGTGACCACCAGTGAACATCAAACCGGAGCACCCACTGCCTAGATGAGACCTGGGAACCATCTCCTGGAGGGATCCACATGGGCTGGGTGTCCCTGTAGCTCTGCATCTCCCCCTGAGGTGGCAGAGCACACCAACTGCCCATCCCTGTGTCCCTTTCTGCACTGGCTGTGCTTTGGTTTGGCCCAGAAACCTGCCGAGGTCCCTTCCAGGATGAGTCCCAGTGCACTGCCCTGCACCGTGGGCCTTCCCCTCCTGATCCAGCATCTGTGGGGCAGCAGAGCTGGGTCAGTGCAGGGACAGGGCTGGCTCTGACAGGGGCCATGAAGCCACTGCCAGGAGGTGACAGCAAGGACAGTTTGCAAAGAACAAATTTAGATAGGGTGCCTTTGTTGGAATCAAGGGGGTCATTGTGACACCAGAGAAAGTCAGGGAATCAATGAGCTGTTGTGACACTTCAGGGTCTCCTGGAACCAAAGGAACCCTGGGACAGTTTGGAACCTCATGGAGTCAAGGGCCTATTGAGACCCTGCAAAGCAGAGGAATTCTGGGAGAGTGTGGAACTTCCTGGAATCAAAGGGCCATTGTGACACTGGAGGGCCTCATGGATCTGAAGGAAAGCTGGGAGACTGCAGAGTCTCCTGGAATCAAGTGACCAGTGTGACACGGGGGACCTCATGGAAGCAAAGAAACCCTGGGACATTTTGGAACTTCATGGAATCAAAGGGCCATTGGGACACTGGGGAACCCCATGGAATTGTGTGGCCATTGTGCCATTGCAGGGCCTCCTGGAATAAAATGAAACCTGGGACACTGGGAAACCACATGGGAGCAAGGGGTGCCTGTGACCCTGCAGGACCTGATGGAACCAAGGGAAGCCTGGGACACTGAGGAAACTCGTGGAACCAAGTGGCCTTTGTGACCCTGCAGGATTGCACGGAATCAACAACCCATTGTGACACTGCAGGGCTTCATGGAACCAAAGGAATCCTTGGACACTGTGGAACCTCATAG